CCGCCAGGCGTGCGGTCCGTCAAGGTGGTCCTGGTGGGCGACGGCGGCTGCGGGAAGACGTCGCTGCTGATGGTCTTCGCCGACGGGGCCTTCCCCGAGGTGAGTGCCAGAGCCCTCCGGCTGGGCGTGCATGCCCGCGGGGTCACGGTTACGCACAGGCGCCCGCCCGGTGTGTCCCGCCTGTGCCGGAGCTGCCGAGATGTGCGCCCACGCTGGTCTCCCGAGGGGCCTCCCAGCAGAGTGTGGGGTCCTCCCTCTGCCATCTGGAGTGAGGGCTTCAATAATATTACCTAGGAGAATGGCACCTACCTGGGAGAGGTGTCACAGGGACTGACTTTGGCAACCTGGGTAGTTAAGGGAGCACTTGGTGGCACAGCATGGCTAAGAGGGATTGCCAACTTTGGAGCCTTGGGTTCAATTCATGACTTTGCCACTTAGAGCTGTGTGGCCTCCGCAGGTCCCCTACCCTCTCTATGCCTGTGACCTTAACTGTGTAATAGGAATGATGATGGTGCCCACCTCCCAAGGTCTCTGTGAAGAGTAAGTTAATACAAGTCAGGCGCTCAGCTCTGAACCTATGACAGAAAGGACTCACTCAAAGGTGGCAAGGGGCTCCGTTGCAAAACATTTCTTCTCCCCCAGCTTTGCCCCTACAGCACAACCCGGGGGGCTCTGCCTTGGAGGCTAAAAGCACACCAGACTCAAGTCAGGCGGCTGTTAGGCACTGTGGTGCTCCCCTGATGAACCGCGTGGCCCCCAGTAGCTTGCTCAGCCTCTGCGAACCTGTTTCCTCACACAACTTCATGAGACGAAGGGGGAAATAATCCCGCATGGCGCCTGGTACATCTTTGGTGCTCGGGCATGTTGGTCATCTTGCCTTCGTTAGCATGGTCACTGACTGTCCAGGTGGACCCACCCACCGTGTGGCCTCTCAGCCTAGTTCTCCTGGGAATCCATGGGTTTGCTCCCAGCATCTCTTCTCCTTCCTGTCCATCCCAGCATCCTGAAAACCCCTGGGGTTATGCAGGTTCTGGGGAGTCGGATGGGGGAGGCGGGAGAGGTCGGGCATGCTAACAGTGTCAGACCTTTCTTTTCCACAGTGGCAACATTGAGCCAGCTCTTGTGGTTTATGGAGCTGACGTCACCCCCTTTGGCCAGTCACATTTTTTTTTAAGTTGTGGGGGATGTGTTTCCGGGCCCCCAGATGCTGCCCATGGGAACCTAACAATTATGGCGCAGTGAGGAGAACGATACGGAGGGGCCAGGCCAGTGGGGCCCGGGAGGGGGGCTGGGAAGGGCGGTGCCTCCCCACCAGTGTCCTGGGCCCCAAGACATCCTCAATGGTGAGACCCATCCCTGTCCTAGAGAGGTCACAGTGTAGAAGTGGGCATCTCGCAGTTGATGAAATGTATGTTGAAGGGCACACTGGAGCTGGCCAGGGGAAGGGGGGACATGCTTTTTATCAAGGAGATGGACCCGGCCTTGTCCTAGGCTCTTCCCTGTTCAGGGACTCTGAATTCCCAGGAACCTCTCTGCTTCCAGGCACAAGAGAGGGCTTCTTCATTTAAAAGAAACACAAGGTCCCAGAGCTGGAAAAGCCTTCATTTTACAGATGGGAAAACAGGCCAGAGAGACAGTCTTGCCTTGGGACCCAGGGCCTAGCAGTGGCAGCGCTGGCCTAGAACACAGGTCTTCCCACCTCTGACCAGGACACTCTCTGAAGTCCCCAGTGCTCTGCCTACGGGACCAAACCTTCTCCTGCTCCTGGCCCTGGACTCCATCTCCTGGCAGCCCTCCAAGCCCAGGGAGCCAAGAGCTGGGAGACTTGGAGCCCCATCTCCCAGGCTTCCTGCCGACAGCGAAGAGCAGAGAGCAGGGGGGGATTTGGAGGGGCCTCAGCAACCTTTGTCCGGCTTTCGCCCAACCTTGGGTTCAGGGCAGGGGGAACAGAGCAGAGAGAACTCCTGAGGTGGGGGGGGCGGGGGGACTCCTGGCTGACGTTAAGAGCAGCAGCCATTCCCACAGGGCCAAAGCCCAGGGGGCTCGCAGCAGGGGAGGCCGGAGGGGAAGGGAGCACCAGCCCTTCCAGAACCAGCTGAGTCTTCCCGGTCCACACAGGGACTCCCATGGGTGTGCTGCCCAGGGAAGCCCCTGACTCTCCTCTCTCGAGCTACGTCCCCTGTCCTGTAACGATCCATCTGTCTGTCCGCGAGCCCCATCAGGGCAGACCGTAGCCTGAGTCATCTGTGCCCTGGTCTAGCCCAGTCCTGGCCCTGCCTTTCTGGCTGAGGACAGCTCAACAGATAAGATTAGGTGCATATTGGCCGTATGGGCAGAGACTAACCCTGCCTGGGGGTTCAAAGGATACAACAGAAGATGTAGACAGGTCTCCAGGATGACATTCCAGAGTAGGGGGAAAGGTTGTGACAATTACAAGCCAAAGGAGCAGCCCAGCCCCACACTGCAATGGAGCTTTTCTGCTCACTTCTGCCACCAGGTGCTAGAGTTGGTGACCTCGGGAGAGGCAGGTGACCTCAGGAGAGACAGATAACTGGGAACAGAACCTGGCCTCTGGAGCCAGAAAGACCTGGCTTCATCTTTAGCCAGCTGTCCATTGTGTTACCTCGGGCCAGTCACTTCCCCTCTCTGGGCCTCAGCGTCCCCCTCAGGAAAACAGGGCTACGACTGTCTTTCCAAGGTTGCAGGAATCAGAGATGGTGCCGGAAAAGGGCCATCCGCAGCAGATCTCAAGAGAATGTGGGTAACAGTGTCATCTCCATAGGCATTTGCAAGAGCTTGTGTCTCCCAAGAGCTTGATGGCAGGCTGCCCCGCACCCCAGGTCAGGAGGGGTCCTGCAGACGACTCCTCTACTGGTGAGCGGGTGGCCAAGCTGGGAGCTCAGCAGGCATCGGTGCCCTCCAGTGACAGACTGGGGAGGGGATGGGGAAGGGAGCACACGCTGGAGAGATGGACAGTGGCTGGTGTGGACACTGTTCCTGGCAACCCGCTTTCTAAGTGGCGGGCATTTATGCTGGATCTCACCTGCCAGCCATTCTTCTGTAACACGCAGTGAGGTGACATTCTTCTTTAACCAGTGAGGAGACTGGCCCAAGGTCACACAGCTAGTGAGTGCCAGAGCCGGTCCTAAGCCAGGCAAGTCTGACTCCAAAGCACTTCTAGCTACCATGTTACACGGTCCGCAGTCAGGCAAAGGGCCTGAGGGGTGGGGCCCTGGACAGGCCAGAGGGCACGGGGAGGTGAATGGAGCCTTTTCTGTTCCTTCTTAGTAGAGGGAGTAACAGGTGACTGGAGTCCAGAGCCTGTACCCCAGGGCGATCTGTGATGTCTCCATCTGCCCCAGCTGCGTGCTCTGGGACCCGCCTTTCTCCACACCCTCCCCCTGCAGCTTCCCAAGTGCCCCGGAGGACAATGCCAACCCACTGCTAGAGGGCTACCCCTCCTAACAGCCAGGGCCTGACTCACAGGGCCTGTCATGGGCAGACGAGGGCCTCACCTGGCATGGGAAATGGGCGGAGGACAGGGTCTCCTGGGCTGCGGCCCCACAGACCAGCCCTGAGCAAGTGCGCTAGGCCTGGGGACCCAAGCTGCAATGGCCCACGTGCCCCTCCAGGAAGAGGGCCTATGTGGCAGTCTTGAAAGCCCCGTCACCTGTTGCTCAGACCCCATCTGTGAAAGCTCCCCCTCTTTATTCCTTCATTGTGCACAAAACCCATCCCATTTCCATACACCCAGACTTCATGGAGAGGGAGCAAGCTCCAGCAGAGCCAGCCTGGTGGGGGAGGGGCCTCCTCCTGAGCCCAGACAGGGCCAGTAAGAGAGGCAGAAACGGGCAGGGGCCATGGGAGGGGATCCAGAAAGGCATCCTGGGACCGGGGGAGGTAGCATTGGGCAGGGGTTCCGGTTGGATTGTAAGAAGTTGAGAGGCAAAGAAGAGACCCCCAAAAAGCCACACGCCCCTCAGGGCGGGCACCCAGTCTTGTTTATTACTTGCTCCCGATGTCCAGGAGAGGACGTGGAGAATGTCCTAATGACGGAATGTGAGCGAGCGAATGAATGAACAAACGCACGAACACACGTAGGTTAATGTCCTTCCAGGAGGAGGAGACAGCATGGAAGAAGGCTCAGAAATGGAACAGTCCCCCATCCAGGGAGACAAAGATAAAAATAACAGCGTCTGGCATGTGCGGAGTGTTTATTTTGTGCCAGGCCCCGTGCTCAGGGCTCTGTGTGGAGCGTCTCAGCGACAGGCTGTGGTGGGTACTTTTAATATTCTCACTTTATAGCCAAGGAGTAGAGCGCCAGGGAGTCTGGGGCCTGGCCAGACACACAGGAAGTGGCAGCCCCAGGCCTCAACCCCGCCAGCCAACTGCTTCCAGAAAGTGCTACACTCTGCCGGCTCCCAAAGAGGGCAGTGCCACGCACATCCTGGGCTCTGGCCTGGGCATCAGGGCCTGTCCCCCTTCAGAAGCTGTCCTCACAGCCTCCACTCGCTCTTCTTCCTCAGAGCTACACCCCCACGGTGTTTGAGCGGCTCACTGTTAATCTGCAAATGAAGGGCAAACCCGTGAACCTCCAAATCTGGGACACAGCAGGTGGGTGTGCAAGGCTGGGGGAGGGGCCCCAGATGCCAGAAGCCGTGCCCCACTGCCTTCCTTCTGAATCGGGGAGCCCAACCAATCTCCAACCCACTGCTAGAGGGCTACCCCTCCTTGGAGCCCGAACCCTCCTAGCTTCTATGCCTGTCTGCTGCCTTCCCCACCCCAGGGCAGCCCACTGTGTCCTAGAGACAAGGGAGAGTCCAGAGCTCTTTGCTCTCGAGGGGTAGACGTTTCCTGGCCTCTTCAGCTTTCTACCTCGGCTTTAGCTTCTGTAAGATCTGCCTGATCTTGACCTCTGGCCTCCACGCTCCTGACCTTGCCCACACAAGGATTCAGAGTCAAATTAATAGCAGAGCTTAAAGCTAACCTTAGGGAGTCCCAGCAGCCCCCTTACCTTGGCAAAGGTGTCTTTGCTGGGGTCTCGATGCCTCTTTCTCCTCACCCGCCAAGCCCAAGGCAAAGCAGACTTCTGAGTGATGGTCTCAGTCCCTCCAGCCTGGGCCTCTGCCTTGTCCCTCCACCCAGGAGAGGGCTCTCGCAGCAAGTGGTCTCATCCAGGCCAGGCCTGACATACCCTGTGGGCGAGCCAGAGAAACACAGCCGAGGAGGGGACATTCATGTGGAGTGGCCACCTCAGTGCCAAATTTGTGTTGGACCCTGAGGCACAGAACTGAGCCCTAATCCAAAGACACACACACACACACACACACACACACACACACACGAGTCTGGGGGGCTTACCTGCTTGGTGTCGGGGAGGTGCTGACAGGCGACAGGAGATCTGGAGGGAGTGACTGCCCTCACTCCACCAGGACAAGTTGACTATGACCGCCTGCGGCCCCTGTTCTACCCTGACGCCAGCGTCCTGCTCCTCTGCTTCGATGTCACCAGCCCACACAGCTTTGACAACGTCTTTAACCGGGTAGGTACTGGTGGGGAGGGAGGCACAGCCCCTACAGCCAGGCCATGCCGCTCTACCCCCACTGCTGACCCCACAGGCTGTCAGAGCGTGGCAGGCTCTAGATGACATTGCCTTTGGCATATATATGTGGAAACCAAGGCCCAGAGGGGTCAGCGACTGGCTGGGGGTCCCCTAGATATTGGCGGCAGGGTCTGGCCTCTGACTCCCAGCCCAGTGCTCCTCACCTGCCCCCTACTGCAGACTCTGAACTCCGTGACTCTTTGTACTGTGACCCTGCCAGAGAACGGTGGGTAGCCCAGAGGTCCCTGAATCTCCCCAGCCTGAGCCTGCCCAAGGTCACATGAACCATTAGCTTCCAGCAGTTCTCAGCCCGTCTGTGTAACTGCTGCCTTTCAGTGGCCTCCCAGAATGGCCCCCAGTTATGTCAAGGGTTCTAGAAGCTACTCACAGGTGTCAGGCACATGGTCCCTGGAGTTCCTCTGTTCCAGCCATGGCACGTTCCCTCCCCCACAGCTCCAGGAGTCCTCAAAGCACACCAGTGACAGCATTAGTAATAATAACACAGTGATGGTGGCAGCATTTATTAGGACTTACCATGTGCCAGGCACTGTTCCCAGCACTTATATCTATTTATTCATCTAACCCTTTTACAGCCTTAGGGAGCAGACACTGTTACTATCCCCACATTGGGTTGCTTGGTCCAAGACACACATCCATTGAAGTGCTAACATGGGGACATGCTCCATGCAGTCATTCAGAAGTATTGATTGAGCACATCTACATGCCAGGCACTGTTCTAGGCCCCGGGGACCGGGTGAGATGGTGGTGGCTGGGACCGGGGTGCTAACAGAGGGGATGGGGAGAGGTGGACGGATACTGAATCTAGAAAGCAGAGCCCTTTGCAGATGGTTTGGACATGGGATGGAGAGAGGCGTTTTGACCAGAGCAACTGGAAGGTAGACTTGCCATTTCCCAAGATGAAGAGGAGCAAGCTGGGGGTAGGGAGGTGGGAGATGGGGGCCCTATTGGCTATCCCAGGGGAGACGGCAGGTAGGCAGGTGGAAGTCTGAGTCTGCGTTCTCCTGGAGAGGGCTGGGCCAGACCAGGCTGGGCAGTTCCATTTAGGAGCCGCTGGTAGGCAAGAGCCTTGGGCTCTTGGAGGGCCAGAGCTGCTAGAGGAAAGGCCAGCGCACAGCTTGAGCCCAGGAGGGGGTCGGATCAAGACCCTAGGAGAACCTGAAGGGTGGGGTCCTGGAGTGAAATGCAAACCGGGTCTCCGAGGAGGGTGTGATCCGTGTCAGGGCTCAGATGGGATGAGGGCCGAGGACTCACTTTGGATTTGATAAGGCAGAGTCATGGAGGAGACCCTTTCTGAGGGCAGTTTTGTGGAGGCTGGGGGTGTGGGACGTCTGTCCGGGACCCCACATGTGCCCCATCTAGCTCCAGGAACTCGCTGGCTTCATGCCAATTTTTCCTGACCGGACGAACCGAGCAGGCCTCCGCTCCTGGATATGCAAAGCTCCTGTCTCTGGATTCCAGGCTCCTGAGTTGTAGTCCAGGCTGAAATAACCAGGGCCCCAGAGCCTCACATTCCAAAGAGCAGCTGACTCAGGATGCCAGCGCTCCCCTTCCCTCCAACAGGCGAGCAGCTGCTGCAGCCGGGTCCTGAGCTGCTTTATCTTTAAAGAATCACTTATTTGCTGATCTGTTTCACCCAGTTGAGAGGCGGTCGTGGGAGCCCTCCCCTTGCAGAAAGGCAGAGTTGTAGATCAGGACCCTGGGCTCAAATCCTCCACTGCCAGTTCTGTAACCAAGGCCGTTACATAGCCCCTCTGAGCCTCAGTTGCCGCCTGTGTATGGTGGGAGTGACGACAGAACTTGCTTCATCGGGGCCTGGGGGTTCATGAGTTCTTAGGTGGAAAGTCTTAGAGCCTGGCACAGGGGAGATCTCCCTGAACGCAGGCGGTGCTCATGGCCGTGCAGGAGGCTGCCTGGGAGCAGGAGAGCAGCCCGTTCTCCCCTCTGCAAGAGGGACAGCACTCCTGATGGCTATCACACTCCCTCCCCCGCTGCCCCCCTCCCCACAGTGGTACCCAGAGGTGAATCACTTCTGCAAGGAGGTGCCCATCATCGTCGTGGGCTGCAAGACCGACCTACGCAAGGACAGGTCGCTGGTGAAGAAGCTGCGCAAAAATCGATTGGAGCCGGTGACCTACCACAGGGTAGGAAAACCAGCCCTGGGGCAGGGCTGCGGGGAGGGGCCCCGCGCCAGGCGTCCTGAACATTCCGAGGGTCCGGCAGAGGAGGGCTCATTTCTGAGGTCATCATGGGTCAAGAACTGCTAATGTTTGGAGGTGGTGCCTAGAATACTCTAGAAGTTTCCACCTGTGGAAGGGAGAGCCAGTAGTGTGCACACCAGATAGTCCTAACCCCCCACTTCACAGCTGGGGAACTGAGGCCCAGAGAGGGCCCTCGGCTCTTCAATCTGCGAGCCGCTCTCTGCTGCACACCGGGGAAGTTAATCAGTTGGTGCCTTGAGAGGCAGAGACCCGGTCCAGAACTGAAGCAGGAAACCCAAAGAAGCCATGAGAGCACTTGGTCAAGCTGGGGGGTGAGGGACTGGAGCTGTGGGTGCCCGAGAAAAACTCACCTTCCACTTTAGTCCTGGAGACTCCCTAGGATGTCCAAGAGGGCTTGGGGTTGCTGGACGTGAGGTGTTCCGGCGGCCCCCACCTCACGGCTGCCCTATCCACTCTTCCTGTAGGGCCAAGAGATGGCGAGGTCCGTGGGCGCCGTGGCCTACCTCGAGTGCTCGGCTCTGCTCCACGAAAACGTCCACGCTGTTTTCCAGGAGGCCGCCGAGGTGGCCCTCAGCAGCCGCAGTCGCAACCTCTGGCGGCGGATTACCCGGAGCTTTTGCGTGGTGACCTGACGGCTTGGGACCCTCAGTGCCGCGACTGCCCCAGCAGCACCGGAAGGAGCTGGGCGCTGGCCTTTTGCCCAGTTGGCTGGGCTGGACCCAGTATTCAGGCTGTGACCACCAAACTGACCCAGAAACAGATGGGCACCACCGAGGCCAGGCCCCTGACCCCGGGGCTAGGATGCCTAGACTGAAGTGGAACCCCTCTGAAGCCTGAGAAGGGGGGTTCTCGGGCTCACCACCAGTCCTGGGGAGGGCTAGTCCTGGGGTCCCCTGGAATCACACTCCCAGCTCCCAGCCCTGGACCGCAAGTCCTGGAGCAGCCGTGCAGCCTGGCGCCACCTCGCGTCTGTTCCCAGGCCTGCACCTTCAGGCAGCACCTAGCGGTCCCAGGATCCTCCCCACGCCCGCCAGAACTCGCACTTGCCCCTTCCCCCTGTGCCCTTCCCAGTGGTAACTGTAACAACTAAAACAACATCGCCAGTTACTTGTGTCATTTTTGTTTCAAAATGCCTTTAGACATGTGTTCCAGGCTAGATAAGAGTCCACCCCACGTAGGTGCTGGAGTGGGACGGCCTGGATCCAAGCCCCGCCCTTGGCCCCGGCCTTAGCTGCTCCCCTTTACTTTCTTGGAGAGATCGTCACCATTTGACATGGTTCCATCTGTCTCCCCGACGAATGGCCAGCTCTCCTAGAGCACAGACTGGGTTAGTCGGAATGCCCTGTGCCTGATATACAGAAAGCATTAAAGAACTGTGTGGTAAGCAGATGGATGCTGTGAATCTATGCTCCAGTTCTGTCCCTCATCCGTCCCTGCTTGGATTGCCACAAAAGTCTCCCAGGCTCCAGGCTCTGAGCCTGCGCACCTGACACCCCAGCCACACCCAGGGAGCACTAATGACCTGCCCCATACCAGCGTCTAAGCCTCTGCCCAGGCTGCTCCCCCACCTCAGCACATCCTTCCGCCCAGTTACCGCCTGTTCAAACCCCCCTCCACCCCCAAATCCTTCAGGGTCCAGCTCAGACACCACCTTCTCCAGGAAGCCTATGGAGCTGCTGGCTTCCTCACGCCCACCTCACTGCACACACATGAAAGCATCCATTGTCTGCGCCAGGGCCCCCAGGCTACGGAACTGGGTTTTTCTTCCCATGCTATGGGAAAGGCCAGATTGGACTCTTTAAAATAACAGGTCTGGTGGCAGGACCAGGTGGCTGGGAGGGTGGAGGTGGGACTGGTAGACCAGTTGGGCGGCTGCAGATATCCAGAAACAAGAAACAAGCCATGACAAGTCAAGGCCAGGTGACTTCTGGGCTGGGTAGCCGCCACAGCATTGAGAGACTGTGGGAGGGGTGGGGACGCTGTGAGTGAGGGAAGAATGCTGGCCTCTCCCCTGCATGAGAAACCGGAGACGGTGAGCCCCTTCAGAGGAGACGGTGAGCCCTTCAGAGACCCTGGTACTGGGAGAGGTGGGAATGTTAGGTGGCTGGTTTCCAGCTTCAAGCCTCATCCCTCCCAGCGGCCACACGCAGCCATATCAGGTGTCACAGGAGGGCATAATGAGTGGTAATATTTGGAGATCGCTGCCAAGGAGCCAGGGTTATTATTATGGGTGGCTGTTCTTCCTCACCCACCAAACCCCTCTTTCAATTCCTCATAACCCCCTCCTGGCAGGACAGGCACAGCCGGACAACTGGCGCAGCCCAGAAGCCTAGCCAGGGCCAAGAGCCACAAACCACAGTGTCTTCATTTCTCCACACCGCCTCCGCCTGGCCTCAGGGTTGTCTGCCGGGAAGGCAAGGGGTGGAGGTGGAGACTCCAAGTCATCTACTCCAGGACAAGCCACTCCCTGGCATCGTCAGGAGGGCAGGGCGGGCCGCACTTTGAGTCATGAAGCTTCTCTCCCCTCTGTCTGGACAGCACCCTGGGCCCCACATTTGGATACAGAGAGAGAACACGGCTGGCAGATCACCCTACTTCAAGTCACCCTCTTTGCTCTCTCTCTGGCCTCCTTCTGCTCCTGCAGGCCCTTCCTTTGGAGAATGAGAACTCATGGCCCCCAGGAAATCATTCCAAAGCTACTGGCTAGGGAATCAACAAAGCCTGTGACCAGGCTGAGGAGCAGAGAGATTCGAAACGGACTAGCTGACCACTCACTCCACATTCCAAGGGCTTGACTTCCAAGCTAAAGGCTTCTGATTAAGGTCAGATTGTGTAAAGTAGGGGTTTTTCCTGGGTTCAAATCCTGGTTCTGCAATTTACCAGCTCTGTGACATTGGCCGAGTCACTAGAGCTCTCTTTGTGTCTGTTTCCTTATCTGGAAAATGAGGATAAGAGTGGGCCCTTCCTCCTGGAGTGTTGGGAAAATTCAATGAGTTCATGCGGCAAGAGTTTATTCACTCAGCGTTAACTGCTAACTAGAATTATTGGCTATGAAATGAGGGTCATTGTTTACTATGCAAGGTTGTTGCAGGCTCTGCAAAGCAGGAGCAAGCATGGAAGTGTTTGACTGATATTGTCCCCTCCTACCAATGTGGGTCACCATGCCCTGGAAGGAGGAGGGAGGGAACTCAGACCCTCCTGGTGACAAAGATGGGAGGCCTCAGAGGGGAGTGGACATGGAGTGCGAGGCAGCTGGCTCTTTGTAGGGCTGGCTGGACCCTGCGAGAGGAGCCAGGTGGATGGGGCTGGAATTCCTCCAAGGCTCATGTTTGCAGAGGAGACACCAAGCCTGGTCCAGTGCTGAGCGCAGGGGGAGTGGGAAAGTGAGCAGGATGTGGTCCTTGCCTTCCAAGCCTCCATCCTCCATGGAAGCGCCAATGTGGATACAACCAGTGGGGGAGGGGAGCATCCAATATTCACTCAGCAGCCTGTTCCTGCCATTGAGATAAACAGGAAGGGAGTTGGGGGTGGGGGGATCGGGGAGGTGCTTTTCACCCAGCGAAAAACACCATTGACCCAGAGCTTGCCCACCGCACCTGTGCATCTGAAACAGGGTTGTTGCAGGACCCCTGCTCCTGTCTGCCTAGCAGAAGGGCATCAGGGTCCTGTCTGGCCGGGCCCCACAGATAATATTCTGCACATCCTATCATTCGGTTCTTACAATCCCCACTTTATGGATGAGGAAACAGGTTCAGAAAGCTAAAGAGTAGGACCAAAAGCAGTGAGTGGCAGAGCCAGAGCTGGGCACTTGGACACAGGATGAGTCACGACTCCCAGCGCCAGCTCCCAACCTTCTCTGGGCACTGGCCAGGCGGCTGGACCTCAACCAGCAGAGGGCAGCAGGGCCCAAGGAGAGGAGACTTTCCTCAGCATGGTAGAGGCTGGCAGGCAGGCCAGGCATGGAGATCTGCCCCATCGTTCCTGCCTGGGGTGACACACCATTCCCACCAAGTGCCACCTACTCTGCGGGCCCACCCCAACTGTACAGAAATAAAAACAGGCTCAGAGTGGCCAAGTGACTTGAACATTCTGGTCAAACTGGGGGCATGCTGTCCGCAGTTTGTTATAGCTCTAGGTCAGAATCTAGGGTCTGAATCCTAGCCCTGCAATTACTACCTCACAGGGTTATAGTCAAGTGCGTGGGCTGGAGTGAGATCAAAGGAGACATCGCTGCGAAGCGCTTCCCACACGGAGCCCTGGAACCCAGGCTCGCATTTTCCTCTCTGCTACCCCTAGGGAGGCAGGTGGAGACTGAGGGGTCTCAGTCCCTGCCCTCCTTTACCCTTGAACCCACTCCAGAATTTCAACATAGTTCGAGATCAAAATTCTCCAAGAATGTAAAGGAACCCCAAGGGAGTGCTCCCAGAATGTAAGGTGCTGTGAGCCAGCACCTGGGGGCATGCCCAGTGTGGCCGGAATTATCTTGGGGGGCTGGCAGAAGGAAGAGGGAGGGGAAGGAGAGGGGGATGTGGAGGATCTTGGGGCCCTTCCTGCTGGATGACTAGCCCACACGGAGCCCCAGACCCTACGATGGGGGTGGGAGGCTGCAGAAAAAGGTCAGCTGAGTTTCAAACTCCCTTCTCCCAGTAGACCACCAGCTGAAGGAGCAAAGTCACATGACCAACAGGTGACAATCCTCAGGGCTTCCCTCTGGCCCAACAATGCCAGTTTAGACACCCTGGGCTCTCCTCTTTTCACTTTCCCATCCCAACTCCCCCCTCCCCCAAAAAAATCCTTGATAAAGAGTACTTTACAATTGTTACCAGTCACCTATCTGCCCTATGTCCATTTCCACAATTTCCCATTCACCTCTACCCCCCACCCCCAGGCTGGGAACCACCTGACCACAGATGTAAAAGCATCCATCACCCTGGCAGCCACCTCCATGACACATCAAGATCCCCCCCTTGCCCCGCCCTGTCTCATTTTTTCAACTCTCTCCTGCTTCCTGGAATCTCCTCCCTGGTGAGCTCTGCTCTTTGTTGTACTTGTTGCATTTTTTTAAATTTTCTATTCGGTTCATTCATTCATGAGTTTTCATTCATTCCAAAGGTCTTTGTTGCGCACTTACTACAAAATCCCTGCCCCCTAGCCCTATACCTAGACCTTCCCGGATTTCTCCATCCTCTGTGCAGCCTTGCTGGGGGGCAGCGCCCCTCCCCTATGGAAGCAGGACCACCCACTCGACTCTCTCTCTCCCCTGACTCTGGAGCTAGGACATCCCAATATCCACCCTACCTGCTCCCTCCACACCACTTTAAGACTTTAAATCTGGGGCAAGAGACAACGAGGGACGTTTAAATTAATTCCGGGGACATTGGCTCTTTTAACAAGTACATAGAGCTTACTTACTACATGCCAGGCAGTTCTGAAGTTAACTCATTCAATCTTCATAACCACCTACAAGGTAGGTACAGCTATTAGCAGCCCCGTTTTATAGATGAGGAAACTGAGAGGCAGAGAGGTTAAAGGTCACAAGCTAGCAAGTGACAAGTCTAGGATTTGAGCCTGGGCTGGATGCATGCATCCTCTGGGCAGTGGGTGGGGATGGCAAGCCTGTAGGCAGCAGACAATGCTTATAACCTGAGCTGTAGGGGTCTGATCTTTAACTCCCACTGCCCCTGAGGGTGATCAGACAGCCTTCCCATAAGGCCCTTCACCTTAAATGAACTAGCTCCTCTGCTGTTCGCATCCTCTGAAGAGATCGGAGTGGTCGAGATCCCATATTAAGGAAAAACTAGAACATATAAAAAAATAGGATTTGAATTACTCTCAATTTCATGGTTAACCAAATTGACTGTTGATAATTTGCTTATTTTCTTTTCCTCTTTTTTCCTATAAAAAAACAGATTTGCATAGTTGTAGTCACACTGTTACACAATTTCGAATTCTGCTTTTTTCATTTAACATTTTAGTCCAAACATGCCTAGATTGCAAACGACTTGTGAATATCATTAAATTTTTTTGAAATAATGTTGGATGTAAACAAGAATTACAAAACTAGTCCACGGAGTCGCCGTGAACCTTTGCCTGGCTTCCCCTAACATTAGCATTCATTTACCAAAACTAAGAAATTCATATTTAATGCTATTTATGAAACTCCGGACTTTATTCAGTTTCCCCAGTGTTTTCACTAATATCCTTTTTCTGTTCCAAGATGCAATCCAAGACACCATCATATATTTAGGTGAATATCTTTTTCAGTGGCTGCATATTATTTTAATCTAGTGAACATTCTAAAAAGCTTTTTAAAACCTACTGGCTATTGCACATTTATTTGCATTGTTTCTAGTTGTTCAGCTATTAAGCTTATTCGAAAACAACAAACG